CCCCCCCCCCCCAAAGTAGGTTTCTGAAAGGCTTCTATTATTCAGCACTTAAGCAAGAATTTAAACTTGTCCAGCCAGGTGGGTTCTGCAGCCCCTTTCTTATCACCTGACCTCTGCTCCACTCCATGACTTCTGACAGCAGCAGTCTCCCTCCATGCCTACCTCATACCTCTTCTATTGTTCCAGCCTTCAACATCCCCCGTAAGTGCACTTTTTTAAGACCTGGTAGCAAAGCTCTCTTATCAGGCATTTGCATATCAGGTCGACATCCCACGCCACTTCACAGTTCCCTCATGCAAATTCCTTGATCTGTATTTCAGCACATTCCTCTACAATTCTTACCTTACTGTCATAACCTTCACATCTGGTTCAGTCTTTGGTTCTGCTGCCACCATAGTAATCTGAAGCAGTATTAAGAAGCTATACTTTAGTGAAAAGGTCAACAAAATCAACTTCTTTCCTAAGGTGGCAAGGCATGGACAATTATTCTGGCTGCATGGGCCTGTGCTCACTAGGGAGACTGGAATCTGTTGGCCAGCTCCAAACAGCAGCCTCAGAGATATTCAGTCCCAAGAAGACGCACGTGATCTCAGTGCTTGTGGGGAAAGATGGGAGAGGGAAGGATGCAACATGGCCTTAAACTTCTTTAGAAACCTGAGAATCTACATGGAAGTGGGTAGGAAAGAAAAGAAGGCTTATAAAAGTATCAACTGCTGGGAAGTTTCAGACAGCACTTATAACTTACAAGGCTGGAGAGAATAAAACTGAATCACTGCCACAGAACTTAAGCAGCTTGGCTTTCTAAAAGAAATGATAACTTATAAGTAAATGCTGGCATAGAAACAGCATCACCAAAGCATATCCAGCATGTCAAAACTGAAGAGGAAAAAATCCTCTGTCCTGAAACAGAATTATTTTTTTTTTAAATAAAAAGCAGTCTGACACGTTTTTGTACAGTCAGAACTGGCAACTACTAAAACCCTAAAAGAGGAACAGACCACCTCACATTACTAAAGGTCTTTTGCCTTTTCCATACCAGCATGGAACAATGAAGAAGGTTTTACCATCTTGACTAAGGCAGCAAAAAGCCAATTACCTCAATTAAGTCTGAACCTTCCAACCAATACAGTTCTTTACAAGTGCAGTCTCTGGGTTTCACATTCCTATTTTCTTTTTATCTTCCAAATTTCTACTTCCCCTTCCCTAAATTTTCAGGAAATGATGCCATCTTTACATAAAATATAACCTAGGGAATGGCAAGGATGTTAGTGTCTTCTAAGAGTGTGTTTGGGATTAAACTTGTTAAGAGAAGTTAAGAGATACAAGCTGCTTATCTGGGCAAGATGCTTTGGCATTGCTAGCTAGAAAGATACCAAAGCAGCATAAACCAAAGCATGAGCCCCACGAAAAAAAAGAGGGGTTTTTTTGGTTGGTTGTTTTTTTCCCTACTGACACTTCAGAACAGTGCTTCCAAAAAAAGTTCCATCACCAAGTTAAAAGTCAAGGAAACTCCATTTCTTATCTATGTGTTTCCATGTTTTATGTTCATTAAGGATGCCATTGCTGTTCTGGATCAGGGCTTTAATCTCTTAAGAGTTACATCTCAGCAACAATTGCAAAGTGTTTCACAACAACAAAAAAATAGGGAAAAGACAGGGTTCTAGCATCTTCAGAAGGTTTCACATATCAAAAGTTTTAAAATTACCCCTTGACCAATAGTGACCAATCTTCAGATTTACTTAAAACACCATGACAGACAAACACAGAGTTTTCTGTTTGCTCTTTAATGAACTCCCCACACTCTGATCACTGTACACCTGATAGTCTTGTCAAAGTCAACTACCTCTGACTCCTTTGCTCAGGCACTCCTAAACTGTGGTTCCCAAGGAGCACTTGCTACACAAGGGATTCAAATGGAATTCCCACATCAGGGTTATGTACACAGGGGCCTGCTGGGTAATCAAAAGCCAAGGCTCTGGAAGGAAGCAAGCAAGCACTGATCAAACTACTACAGCGCGCTCTCACACACACGCCCAGACACACACACGCCCTTATGTTGTGGTCCAGCTGCATATCCAGACCCATCTCATCTCACAGTGGACTGTCAACACACCTGAAGGGTCACTGTCACTGCCTGCCTTAGCATTATTCCGACAGCTTTTTCTCTTTCCATTTGACTAAGATATGTAATATGTGTCTTCCTGCACTTCAGACAGAGGAAGACTCAATACATAGCTCACAGGGTCAGAAAGGCAAGCCAGAACTCCAGAGTTTTTAGGTCTAGGAACTGCAACTTCAGATGTGGGGGGTAAACTCTCTATTGTGAGCTGCCTTTGAACAGCTGATCCAGATAAACAAACAAAACCAGAAGACCTTTCCTGCCTCTATTTTAGGGTAAAAATCATTCAGCTACCATTATTGCTCTGTAGTATTTTACTGTCATGCTTTCTAGTGAGAGAGGGCAATAAACTGTCCAGAGAAAGATCATGTCTCAGATTCTGAAAAAAAATAACATAATAGTGAATTAACTGTCAAAAGAATCATTTATGTAAAAGCATGTTCTATTTACAAAGGTCAACTTGCTCTTTAGAACAAGTAAAACCACTACTGGAAAAAAATATACATATAGAAACGCCTCATCTTTCAAATAGACATTTACAAATACTCTGCTTTGCTTAACTACTAGAAACATTAAGACACAGCGTTCTGCATGCAGTTAGGATAGAAATTACATTACTGGACTTCAGTGTGTCATTTCTTATCATTGTCAATGACACACTCTTAGGCTCTTCTAAACCACAGCCTGGCTATTACCTTAGGATCTCAAAAGGAGGACATGGATCTTCATTAACAAGTTAGCAGTTACTCTTCATTTTGCAATTAAAAAAGGACATCCCGATTGTCTTCTCAGCAGGAGAGTCTGGTCTTGTCAAACTTGGCATCCTTTTCCCTGAGTTTCCCTTTAGTATTTTGCTAGGCATCACGATCGTTGGCTTAGTATATTTACAAGTCCTTGGTCAGCACTCTTCCCGTTATAAGGCAGAGTTCAGAAATTCAAGGAGTTCTGCACGATTCCGGTCTCTCTGTAGAGCAGAAAAGCAGAGGCAGCAGTTTAACAGACCTGTACTCAGGGAAACAAGGCTGCATAACCCTGTGTTCTGGGGGGCTTTCACATCTCAGGCTGCATAACCCTGTGTTCTGGGGGGCTTTCACATCTCAGCATGCCACACCACAAACACTACCACATTGGAACAGCTGGATCTGACTAGGTATCAGTTAGGTGTGAGTGCCTGGAAGGAGTGCAAGGCAATGGGTACTCAGGAGACATGCTGTAGGAGACAAGCTGTCACCATCACTATTTCATGATACATTTTCTAAGTGTCTCCCTGTGGAGGCTCCACTGGGTTGTCATCATATAGCTCACAGCCTACTCAGGAGGGAACTCACAAGCAGAACAGATGCAATTCTCTGGTGTCTGAGGCAACTTTCACTGTACACACAAAGTCTTGTGCTTTGGTAAGTATTTTTTCTATGCATAAGCAGCTGCTTGCAGCATAACAGTAAGGGAACCATGAATTTAGGTTCTTTCTTCACATAAGAGATGTCCCAAGCAGTCAAAACACTTCTGCCCAGTGTTTTTAAAAGTCGTAATTATTTAACAATTACTGAATCTTAAAATATTGTGAAGAATGGATATTGTTCAATTCAGCATGTTCATGACCATGGACACCACTGAAAAAAGGACCAACATCAAATATCTGACACCAAATATTGTAACGAGCAAGTTACTGGGATGAGGCTAGCAAGCATTCAGCATAATTTAACACAAACTTCAGTGCCACAGAAAGAGGGTAATGTATTTTTGCTCAAATTTAACTCGCAATGCTCAGGTCTGCTATAGAATGAACTCTTAACGGCTGAAACAGAATCCACTAAATTGGATACCTTCAGCAAAGTAACACATTTAACACACTGACTAGTACCAGAAGCCCTCTGCGGACCACTCTAAGGTGTGGAAACTGCTGAAAAGAGTGAACATATTAAAGTGCCGAGTCCAAACACCCATGGCAATAGCACAAAATGCTATTCATGGTATCTATTCCACTGGGTATCTCAGCAAAAACATTTGACTGCTTTGAGGGAATGCATGAGCACGTGGTCCTAATACTACTATCAAATTCTATTAATTCCTCTCTAAATAATGCCTAGCCTCACATGCATTAGAAAAACACAGTAAAGCCGCAAATAACCACAACTGATCACAGGAGACTGGAAGAAGATGAGGACAATTAAAAACAGTGCAAATCAAACCAACAGAGAAAGCCACAAATCAGCTAAACTTTATGGACTGAAATTCTAAGATCCCGCACAAGCATCCTTTGGTTTATCTACTCATGCCTGAGCATTCCAAGTCCACTCATAACACAAAACCTGCTAAAAGAATGAATTTAAATTTCTCAGACGGCATCACAGCCACATTAAAAGATACAATTAATTTAGAGCTCCTAACTGTAAGATCTATTCTTCTACAAAAGACTACTATCAGAAAAATATTAAAAGAAACAGTACTTTCCCTTAGCGATATATAGATGATTTTAACTCTTACCTCTTTATCCTTCTTAGACTTCTTTATTTTCATCTTAATTTTCTTTCCAGTTATCATGCTGTAGTTTTCATTCTTCTTTTTGTTTTTAAAGAACTAAAATTAGATCACACGTTAGAAAGACATAAGCTTTGCTTTCCTTTGTAATGTTACAAATCTCAAATGAAACTACAGACAATAATTTTTTATACTCCCTAACTGTCCAAAACAATACAGATGGGTTTTTACTTGCTGATGAAAAAACTGGTGCTGTTTAAGACAGGAAAGATGAAGTGATGAGAAATATAATGGGACTTCCAACTCACACAAGCATACCTTGGAAAGCTGGACAGGTCCTGTTTTCTCTCTCTTTTTCTTCTTTTCTTTCTTTTTCTTCATTTTGTTATCTTTTTTCCTTTTCTACAAACACAAGACATATACTCTTATGCTTATATACTCGCAAGAGCAAAAAAAGGAAATCCACAGTAGCTCTCAATGCCCCAGCTAGTCAAGACAGTCACTACCACTTGCCCTTATCATGTTGTATAGGTACTAGCTGAAGTACAGAGAAAGTAATGCAGCAGGGTGGACCTTGAGAAACAGAAGTGGTCTGATCCCCTATTCTCTCTTATAATGTAACTTCAGTATATAAAATCACTAAACAGAAGGTCCTAATAAAAAGAAAAATTTTATTTACTCTCTCACTGGCTATAAATTGCATCTTCTGACAAATTCTATAAAGTTATCAACATTCCCTGCTTTGCTTTTCTTCAGAGACTATTCTAAACTCTAGCTGGACCAGCAATGATTGGCAAAAGGAACCATTAAATTATTTCTCCTTTAGTATACAGTCAAGTATATGCCACCCTATCAGTTCACCTACTGTAACCCTAATAGCATTGATTCAGATTTACATAGCCATGGACAACAACACTGCATTTTACCTGACATTTAAGGTTATCAAAACATGAAGAACTACGTTCTGTTTGTTAACTACTTATTTATATCTGTAAATGTTTACCTTTTTATTGTGTTTTTCTTTTTTCTTTTTCTTTGATTTAGACTTAGGAGAATCTAAAATTAAACAAAACACAGAACAAAACCCTGTAAGTTTAGCATTCTGAAAAGGGCATTTGGTTTTACAGATAAGTCATACAGAAATATAAAACATAAAAAGAAAATGCTTTAATTCAGCTATATATATTAACGCCGGTTGAAACTAACCCTGAGAAAAGCAACACATTAACTTACTGCCACTCACTGGTCTAACAGTTTAGGACAATCTTGCTAGATCATCTACTCTACCCTGTGAATGGGAAAACGTAGAGAATTTTTAGCTGTAGAGTTTTAGCAAATCTCTGACACAAGCCTAATTCAGAATTTTTTCCCTCAGATATATGTTTCTTGACATCCCTCCAAAAGATGAACCAGAGAGCCTGCTAAGCATGTTCAGAGAGTCAGTGTCAGACGTGACATTTTCCTTTTTTTTAGAAGTTTTAGAGTGTATCACATGGGATAAAATTCATTCATGAAGAAAGGAGGGCAGCCTCTCCCCCACCAAATGTACAAGTTCATAGATTTGACTATTTTCAGAATATAGCTATGTCAGCTACATTGAATCAAGCCACCGAAGTACAAAAACAAGTAATGTTTCCGTACAGATGTAAATCTGCTTCAAGAGCAGAACTAAGTCTCTTCTAAACTGTGGAATACACAGTCACAAATAAGACATTCTGTACCAGATGAAGTTTCTGCTGCCCCGCTGTTAAGACTTTTCATCAGAATTTCAGTTCATACTAGAGTCCTTCCCAATCATAGTAAAAAAAGGTAAAATACACTTCGGCGTTTAGCCTGACATATTTTATTAAAAAAAGGCAATTTGATCACTTTACTTTCAGTGATACCAAATATTTTCATACAGAATATCCAAACAATGCAGTCTCAATATAATCAGCAATACATTCCCCTCGAGATCTCAAGTTATACCCACAGAAAAAAATCTGCACTTACTCCCAGACAGTATCTTCCCTAAGTCCTCTAAGTAAGCAGCAGCTTAGTACGGAAAGTCTTAATCCTGCAGCACTTGCGTATGTGTTCCCACTGAACTTGGTCATTGGTATTAACACACTTCATGTGAGTCCTCACAGTTAAATGCTTGAAATGTTAAGACCAAGGTAAGAGTAAACTAAACACCCCAATTCTGGTCTAGAGAAACGTGAAGTAGAAAAATATCTGTATTCATTACTTTCAAAACACTAAGTTTGGAACACATACAGCATACTCTTACAAAGTGACACTTCCTTGAATAGCAGTTTCTATTCTGTGTTAACTATTTAAATTATCACAGGAACATTGCATACTGTTTGTAAAGAAATACCTTAACATAGTTGGGAATAGTTGGAAGGGGTTGAAACACTCTAAACATGCAGTATTGGTATTCCATGCAGTTCCTCTGTGGTGGTTTAGACACACTTGAAAAAAACTTTAAGTGTTTCCAAATCAAAACTGGTAAACATCACGTAGGCATGGAGGCAGCTTACCTCTGCTACTTGAAGATGACCTTGATGATGAGCATGATGAGGAGGAAGAAGTGGATGTAGTGCTAGAAGACGATGTGGATGAAACGGATGATGATCTGCTTCTACTGCGTTTTCGTTTCCTTTTTTCTTTTCCTTAGGATAACACAAGGCAACATGACAAAAAATGACTTTTCACAGAACTTAAGCACAACAAACCCCTATTTTGGGTTGGTGGGGGCTTTTTTTCCCCTCTCCCAGTGCGACACAATCTATTATCATTGGCAAGTGACAATGCTCAACGTCAGGGTCAAACATGGTAACTGATGTAAAGGAAAGCACAGACAACACCACAGCACTGAAACAGATTAGCAATGCCTACCTCTGACTTTGAGTTCTTCTTGTGAAGTTGCACAGAGCGTCCTACTTTTTTCATCCTTCACATTATCCATGTCTAGTGAGAGTCAAAAGTACGTTCAATAACATCATTTCCAAAAGACTGGGGGGTGGGAGGGGTGGGGAGTGGCACGGAGATAAGAGGAAATCAGGGAGCACTTCCAAGGGCATCCCCCCCCCCCTTCCTATCTAACTGCCTCACGCTATGGAGAGGCGCAAGCTTGGGCTCTTCTCATCCTCTCGCATCAGGAGCCCCGAGGCCAAACCTGTTTTCCCGTCACCTTCGACGAACGCGCCATTAGTGCAGATGCAATTGTTTCTGGATGACAGGGTCCGGCCCAGCAGAGAGCTGACGGGGCCGCGCACAGGAGATG